ACTAAGACCCAGGCCTAACCTGGATGGTGACCCACCAGCGCCTCCTTGGAGACTCATCAACCTCAGATCACAGCAGGTGTTAATGCAACAAAAAAACCCTGGGCACAGATGTTTTGTTTTTTTTTTCGTGCAGCCCTTTCCTCATCCTGCAGCTCAGGGTGCAGGAAAAAGCGGGTGGCATCTCCAAGGATGGGAACAGGCAGGAAGGAGAGACAGCACCGAATGCGTGGGCACTGCTCTCGCCGTGGAGAACGGAGTACAAACCCCGCTGCTGCCAAGCCCAGTGTCCTCAGATGCATCTCCCCAGCTCACCCAGGCACAGTCCCCAGAGACTTCCCCGTGCGGCGCTGAGCAGGGGAGTCTGAGCGGGAGCCAGTGCTCTCCTGCAGGCAGGATCGCGCCCTCGCTCCTGCCCATCTGCTCTGCCATGGGGGGGTCCAGATCCAGCTCAGAGGAGGTGGCGGCAGTGACAGGGACAAAGGTCTCGGTGGTATGGTGCCTGCCAGGAACGTGCTTCACAGCCACTACTCGGGCAGGAGGTTGTAGACCTTGGTGGCCTCATCCACTGCTCCGACCTTCAGACACTCAGTAATGATGTTTTAACAGAAAAACCAGTCCCTCACCTCCCCAGCCTTACTGGGACAGAGACCCACAGCCAAAGCCTCAGGAATTCCTGAAGCTCCAGAGGAACACACCATGCTGCTCACTCCTGCAGCCTGGGGATTTCCCACACCAGAAGCACTGGCACTGGGCTCACCAGCGCTCGATGGATTTCTCTTTTCAGGAATTTGCTTGATTGCCTTTTGACCCTCTGTTCCTCCACCCAAGGCCAACATTTTCACAGGTTAATTGCAAACTGCCTCACACCCTGAGGGGCCACTGCCTCTTCCCACATGAGATGCCCTGTTATGGGAACTCAAGCAACCCTTCACTGCTCACCTTCCCCCTGTTGCACAGGATTTTATTATTCCCCGTCACGCCTCCCTCAGTCATCTCTTCCCCCAGACGGAAGAGAGCCAGTTTATGTAATTGTTCCTTCTATGGAAACGGCTTCATACCTTTAATTATTCCTGCCACCCCTCCCTGCACTTCCCCAGCGTGTCTTTAAAAGGGTGCGGATGTGCCGGCAGGCAGACAGGCTGCGAAGGAGGAGCAGTTTTGGTTAAGACACCCGCTGCGCCCTGGGAGGGAGGCTGTCGTCTGCCCTGACCCTGCTCCTGCCCAGCTTCCAGTGGCAGAGAGGCCGCATCCAGGCCCTGGACCAAAGCCCTTGTTTGTCCCCAGGCAGGCTGCACACCCAGCAGATCATTTGTGAGCACAGGGATGGCCATCGCCAGCTCCCCCACTCTGGGGCCTCCAATGCCCCCGGCAATGAAAGGCTGAAATAAAAAGCATTTGCAAGGCTAGGGCATTGGCATGGCGCAGGACAAGCAGCACGAGCCCCCACACCCCCCCCCACCCCGGGGGGTACATGGCCAGCTGAACACACAGACAGCGAAATAGATGGGTAACAGTAAGTGCTGGTTTAATATCACAATGACTCAGCCACTGTGAAGGGAGTACAGTGAAAACTCTGGCTCCCTCAGCTTGGAGGGGCTCCAACAGTTCATAGGGAGAAAAGAGGCGGCCAGGTGATCTGCTCACACCCTGCCCTGGAGAGTCAGAGACCTCATCGCAGGAAAGGATGGGGAAAACAATGCTGTGACCAAACCACAGGGGACAGACAAGCCGTGAACCCAGAAGTTGCTCCAAAACACCCTGTTCAAACACGTCCTCAGCAAGCGGAAGCATACAGAGGATTACAAAAGCACCCTCTCTTCATGACAAACGTGGTATTAACAGCCTCAACTGTTCACGTCACCTCTTCAGCTTCACCCATAAGCTGCAGCACCCATGGGACCAGCTGCTTCCCTGCTTCGGTCTTGGGACAGGTGTGCAGGCAGGACGCTGTCCTGAGAGAGATCATCACTGCACCAACACGGTAGCTCGATGAGGGCAAGAGACAGCCATGTTTCCTAAGACAAAATCCTGGGTCTAGACAGATCCTCTGACTAGGAGCCTACCTTGCTTCAGGTCAAGCCCTGGCTGAGATGAAGGATCATGGGGGAGACTCACATGGCAAAAGCCCACACACCCGCTTTCAAAGGGGATGCATCATGGGGCTCTGCAGAAGGACAGTGCTCAGGGCTTCCCTGCTGCAATGCTGGGAAACCCCAAGAGGAACAGATCAGGAGCTCTTTTAAACACACCCCTAAGCCTCACACACAGGACCTAGGCTTTGGGGTCTGACAGCTTTTTCCCCAATGAAAAAGCGTACCCCATAGCAAGCCCTCACACCCTCCAGGGCTGAAGCACCTCAGCTGACCCTCAGATAAGGAAGCTGCAGGACCACTGGCCCAGCCGTGATGGGTGTTTGATGGAGGCACTGCACTGTCCCTGGTGTGCACACATCCCCGTCATCGGACACCCTCCTGCCAGTCCCCGGCATCTCGCTCTCCCTGCCCTCCTAGCCAGCCCCCCCCGTGAAGCAGGGTGCCACTCGGCACCCGAGGGCCTTCACCCTCACGCGCAGCCGCTCCCACCGACCTCCTCCACCCCGCGG